TGCAAATCAAAACAACAATGCGGTACCATCTCACACCTGTCAGAATGGCCAACATCAACAATCAACAAACGACAAGTGTTGGTGAGGTTGTGAAGAAAAAGGAACCCTCATGAACTGCTGGTGGGAATGCAGACTGGTGCAACCACTGTGGAGAACAGTGTGGAGTTTCCTCAAAAAACTGAAAATGGAACTCCCATTTGACCCAGTAATCCCACTTCTAGGATATATCCCAAGAAACTAGAACCAATCAGAACGGATATATGTACCCCTATGTTCATAGCAGCACAATCTACAATAGCTAGGATTTGGAAACAGCCTAGGTGTCCGTCAGCAGATTGGATCCAAAAACTATGGTACATCTACACAATGGGATACTATACTGCCATAAAAAAGAAGGAATTCTCATCATTTGCAGCAACCTGGATGGAATTGGAGAACATCATGCTGAGTGAAATAAGCCCATCAATGAAAGAGAAACACCACATGACCTCACTCATTTATGGATAATAAAGAACATTATAAACTGATGAACCAAAAGACAGATATAGAGACAGTAAAGCAATAAGCAGACTGTCAAATTACAGTGGGGAGGGGAGGAAGATCTGGGGGAGATAATAGATCAACCGAAGGACTTGTATATATGCATATAAGTACAACCAATGGACATAAAACTCTGGGGAGGGAGGGTATGTATAGGAGGAAGGGAGGGGGGCAAAAAAAAATCAATAAAATATATTTAAAAAAAAAAAAAAAGAAAACTAATCCTTAACATAAGTTTTAATAAATCAGTAAATGTTAAAAAAAAAAAAAACAACAACAACAATAACAACAACAAAAAACACCTAAGTAAAATGGAGGCAAGCAATCTCAGATAGAGTACAAAACACTGGTTATAAGGATGTTCAGTGAACTTGGGGAAAGAATAGATGAAGTCAATGAAAATTTACACAAAAAGATAGAAACCATAAAACAAACACAGAAGAATGAAGAATAACTGAAATGAAGAATACGCTAGATAGAATCAACATCAGATTAAATAAAGTAGGGCATTACATAAACAACCTGAAAGCAAAGTGGAAAACATCCAATCAAAACAGCAAAAAAGCAAAAATAATTTTTTTTAAAATGAGGATAGTTTAAGGGGTCTCTGGAACAACATCAAGGATAACATTTGCATCATAGGGTTACCAGAAGAAGAGAATAGATTAAAAACCTATTTGAAGAACTAATGACTGAAAACTTCCATAATCTGGTCAAGGAAATAGACATACAAGTCCAGGAAGCACAGAGTCCCAAACAAGATAAACCCATAGAGACCCGTACTATATTAAATGCCAACAGTTAAACACAAAGAGCGAACCTCAAAATCAGCAAGAGAAAAGCAATTTATCTACAAGGGACTGTCAGAGACTTCTGAACAGAAACTTTGCAGGCTAGAAGGGATTGACACAAAATATCTATTTATATAGAAGGCTAAGTGTCTGTTTGGTAGCTATGATGTGCACTGTCTACCAGGGGGCAGAAACTCAGTGCATAGGCATGGAAACATGGAACAAACTAATGAATCTCAGAGGGAAGGGGAAGGGGAGAGAGCAGGAAGAGATTAACCAAAGAGGCCCAGTGCATAGATTCGTGCACCAGTGGGGTCCTTCATCCTGGCCTCTAGGGATCAGGCTGAATCCATGCACCAGATCTCCGACATCCACCAACGGGTCCTGGATTGAGAGGGCTCAGGCCAGGCTGAGGGACGTTCACCGGGCCTCTAGTTCAGTGATAAAAAGCAAGGACCTACAATCTAGATCTATCATTTAGAATCAAAGACATAAAGAGCTTCCCAGACAAGGAAAAGGTAAAGAAGTTCATCCCCACCAAACTAGTATTATAAGAAATGTTAAAGGGGCTCCTTTAAAAAGAAAAAAATAAATATGAATAATGTAGCAATAACTATATGCCTTTCAAGAATTACTTTACACGTAAATGAATTAAATGTCCCAATCAAAAGACAGGATGGCTGAATGGCTAAGAAAATGACTCATACATTTGCAGCCTATAAGAGACCCACTTCAAATTGAAAGACACACAGAATGAAAATAAAAGGATGGAAAAGACATTTCATGAAAATGGAATTGAAAAAAAGTTGGACTAACAATACTTCAGACAAAATAGACTTTAAAACAAAGGCTAGCCCTAGCCGGTTTGGCTCGCTGGATAGTGAACTAAAGGATCCAGGTTTCATTCCAGTCAAGGGCACATGCCCAGGTTCCGGGCTTGAACCCCAGTTCAAGTTGTGCAGGAGGCAATGATCAATTATTCTCTCTCATCATTGATGCTTCTCTTTCTACCTTCCTTTCTAAAATCAATAAAAATATATTAAAAAAAAAAACACACACAAAAAAAAACACAAAAGCTTTAACAAGAGGCAAAGGACATTTCATATAGCCAAGATATGGAAGCTACCTAAGTGTCCATCAAGAGACGATTAAATAAAAATATGGTACATACATACAGTGGAATATTACTCGCCTATAAAAAAAAATGAAATCTTACCATTTGCAAAAATGTGGATGAACCTAAAGGGAATGTGTTATGGTAAGTGCAATAAGTCAGAGAAAGACTTATTTCATATGATTTCACTTATACGTGGAGTTTGAAGAACAGAATAAATGAATAAAAACAGAAACTAACCCATAGATACAGAGAACAAACTGATGGTTACCAAATGGGCGTTATGGGACTAGTTGAAAAAGATGAAGGGATTAAAGAGTACAAATTGGTAGTTACAAAATAGTCATGGGATGTAAAGTATACCATAGAGAATATCGTCAATAATATTGTAATAATTAAATATAGGGTCAGGTGGGTATTAGGGGGAATCACTTAAGTTATATAAGCATCTAACCACTATGTTGTATATCTGAAACTAATAAATTGGATGTCAACTGTGAATGAAAAAAACAAACAAATAAATCTTGGCAGAATAAGACCAAACAAAGAACTGAAAGATCTTGAAATAAAAATCCTCAAAAGTACACAGAATTACTAAATCCATTTTTGTATCATTTTGTTAACTGTAGAATATTTCATTGACATTCTATCTCACATTTTGAACTTTTTTAAAGTCTAGAAAGGAGGATATTATGAACATAATAAATCTGACTTAAATTTTTAAAAGCTCAGTTGAACCCATCTACCCCCTCACTGACAACCCAAACAACACTCAAACAAATAAGCAGATGCCAGCTTCAGTTTAATGGAAACTAAGTTTATTTATAGAAATTGTTTCAGATGCAAGGGCTAAAACAGGCATTTCTAATGTAAAGTATATGGTAAAAATATTTGATCATTTCTTTTAATATTTGTGCTCTGTTGCAATCTCACCCTCCTCCTACTCCCTTTCTCACCCCAATCCTGCTCCACACATGCCTTCCCAATATAGTAAGTAGCAATTCCAGTAGTCTTAGTTGCCAGTCATATCCCTGACATCATCCTTAATTCTTTATCCATACTCCTCATATATTCTCTACCACATCTAGTCCACTCCACTTTAGTTTTCTACCTAGAATCCAAGCACCTCCCTCCATGTCCCTGATACTGTTTTAGAATAAGTCATCATCCCTCCTATGGGATATTACAATAAATACCCTATCCTTATTTCCTCATCAATTTTCTAGAGGCCAAAGTGATAGTGATCTTCCATAACAGAAGTGAGATCATATTATTCCTCTGCTTAAAAACCTCCACTAGCCTAATGCCTTCTGATTTCATCTAGTATTTTCTCCTTGGATATGAAGCTCCAGCCTCTTGTTTCTGGAACTTTTCAGACATACTTCTGCCTCAGGGCGTTTGCATTCACTGTTTGCTTTGCCTGAAATACCTTTCTTTCCTGATATGCACGACTCATACTTTTGAAGTATTTGCTCAAATACAGCCACTTAGTGTGGCCTATTTTAAAATGGCAAACTTACTTCTCTCAGACATTCTATCTTCTCCGCAATATTTCTCTCCACAGAATTTGTCACTTGCTGATGTATTATTTTTAGTTATTTTGTTTAATGTTTTGTCTTATTAAAATGTAACCTGAGGGTAGTAATTTTTGACTGGGGAAATTTTTTTTTTTTTTTTTTTTTTTTAGTGCTGTATTCCCAGCACCTAAAATACTCAAGTATTTGATGAACTAATGAACACGCCTAATGGTCAAACATGAAATAGCTTATGAAATAGGAGGCCCAAGGCTCAGAAAAAGATATTAAAGATGAAGAATGCCTTATAAATGATCATCAGTGCACACAGAACCAAGCTGCAGCGAATGACTACATCAACAGCCAGGTGAATTTTCCCACAAGTGAAACTCCTTTTATGGAAACCCTGGCATTTTAATCATGTGACTTCAGATGGGTCTTTGGCATGTACAAGCAAAGCAAATCAATTGGCTCAAGTTTATCTAAAGTGCCTTCACACTTAAATAAAGGTTGTGGACATTCATTTAAATAGTTACAATGCTTCAAAAAACATACCAAAGGAGGAAAAATATATAGAACTAAAAAAGTTCTTCATTAAAATAGCTTAAATAAATTATCTGTCAACACCAGAGTCAGTGACTGGATGTGGACAACAGAGATTAGAGCTTTTTATATAACTCCATGAGAACACTTGAGTCAGTCTTCAGAGACACTGCCATAATAACCATTTGGTTAAAATTAATATTCCAGCTTCCAGATGCAATTTAAATAAGGCAAGAAAAGTAACTGGGCCCTAGCCAGTTTAGCTCAGTGGATAGAGCATTTGCTTGCAAACTGAAGAGTCCCAGGTTAGATTCCGGTCAAGGGCACATTCTTGGGTTGTGAGCTCAATCCACAGTAGAGGCATGCAGGAGGCAGCCGATCAATGTGTCCCTCTCATCATTAATGTTTCTATCTTTTCTTCTCCCTTTCTCTTTGAAATCAATAAAAATATTTTTAAAAAGTAACTGATGAAAATGACTGTATAATATACGTCCAATTCTATTTGCCCTTCTTTGTCTTGGCTGTCTTCTCCTTTCTTTTTTTCACATGTTTAGGAATTTTGTTCTTTCTTTTCTCTCTCTGGGCTTCCTTGACCATCTTTTTTCTTTCCTGTAAAACAAAAACAAAAATTAAAAAAAAAAATCTGTGAAATACAGATAGTAGAAGAAGAATAGATTTACTTGGATAACTTCACAGCTGTTTTCCTATAAATCAAATTTCAAATATCACTTACTATTAATTCAATCACAAGGGGAGGTGCTAAACAAAAGAAATTTTAATTTCCCCCCTGAAGTTTAGCAGTTTTTAAAGCAGCAGGAAGCACAAGTTTTTCTTTATACTAGAGGCCAGTGCACAAAATTTATGCACCCGGGGGGGGGGGGAGGGGGAGGGGTTGTCCCTTATCCCAGCCTAAACCCTCTCTAATACAAAATCCCTCAGGGGACATCCTACTGCTGGTTTAGGCTCAATCCTAGATCAGCAGCCGGACACCCTCTCACAATCGGGGACTGCTTGCTCCTAACCACTCTCCTGCCAGCCTGATTAATGCCTAACTGCTCCCCTGCTGTCCAGATCGCCCCCAACTGCCCTCCCCTGCCAGCCCAATCGCCCCCAACTGTCCTCCCCTGCCAGCCCAGTTTAACCCAACTGCCCTCCCCTGCAAGACTGATTGCCCCCAATTGCCCTTCCCTGCCAGCCATCTTTTGGTGGCCATCTTGTGATGATGTGAGGGCAATTGTACACGCTGGTAACCAGACAGGAGGAGGGTGCATGTGCAGCATCAGAGATGGGGCAGCAAGGGTCTCTGTGCGCCTGTATGGGAGAGGGCCTGATCAGCAGCAGCCATGGCTGCTTCAAGGGCCGAAGAGGGAGGCAGGGCTGGACTCGCAGCAGCCACGGCTGCTGCGGGGCAAGGGAGTGAGGCAGGGCCAGACCTGTGACTCAATGGTTGGTGGCACTGCACAATAGGCTCCTAGTATAAGATAAGCAAATTCCATTCATACTATTCATATTGCTACAATCTAAACTAATAAAAGGCTTGGTGGCCCTCAAGCTATGCACTCATGTCATCACAAGATGGCCACCCCCACGCTGTCACAAGATGACCGTTAGAGAAGGACAGTAGTGGGCTATAAGGCTGCAGGGTAGGGCACTTGTGAGTGAACAGGCCAGCTGTAGAGGGCAGTTAGTGGAGATCAGGCTGGCAGGGGAGGGCAGTTGGGGGGAATCGGGCTGGCAGGGGAGCAGTTAGGCATCAATCTGGCTGGCAGGGAAGTGGTTAGGTGGCGATCAGGCTGGCAGGCAGAAGCAGTTAGGGGCGATCAGGCAGGCAGGCGAGTGATTAGGAGCCAGCAGTCCTGGATTGTGAGAGGGATGTCAGATTGGAGAGGGTGCAGTTTGGGCTGAGGGAGACCCCCCGCCTCCAGTGCACCAATTTCATGCACTGGGCCTCTAGTTAGTTATAAAGATATATGTAAAAGGATAAAAAAAAGAGTAACATTAAAAAATAAAAATGAGCCTTAGCTGGTTTGGCTCAGTGGATAGAGCATTGGCCTGTGGAACAAAGGGACAGAGGTTCAATTCTGGTCAAAGGCATGTACTCCATTGCAGGCTCTTCTCCAGCCAGGGACCTGGTCAGGGCACATGCAGAAGGCAACCAATCATTGTGTTTCTCTCACATTGATATTTTCTCACAAGTGAAACTCCTTTTATGGAAACCCTGGCATTTTAATCATGTGACTTCGGATGGGTCTTTGGCATGTACAAGCAAAGCAAAACAATTGGCCCAAGTTTATCCAAAGTGCCTTCACACTTAAATAAAGGTTGTGGACATTCATTTAAATAGTTACAATGCTTCAAAAAACGTACCACTCTCTCTATGAATCAATGGAAAATATCCTTGGGTAAGGGTTAAAAAAAATAAATAAAATAAAATTATGGTTTGGTGGAGGAATTTGGGATGAAACTGTCTTAAAGGAATCCTAATACCTGAAGACTGCCAAACACAAATATCCAGGAGGATATTATTAAATGTTTGCAACTATTTTTCTTTGCAAGTTTCATATTCTAACAGAAATAAAAGTTAGAAAGAGACAAAATACTTATTTCCATTAGGCAAAGAGAGAAAAATGTAATAACAGCCAGTTGTATATGTCTCTCAGAAGTCTTAAAATCCATACTTTATAAAGTTCCAGAATTAAGCTAAGAATGAAGAGTAATAGTTACACAGTTGTCATGCATTATTCAACCATGAGTGTCTCTTCTGTCTGTAGCCAAGGTTGGAAGAAACAGCCTTTCCGAGTTTGGAAACTTGTGGCTGTAAATCCCCCTGAAATGGCTCCTCAGTATGTTATCAATGAGGCAACTTTAGCATCATTTGTACTTCAAGTTAATGACCATAATTTCTAATCAATGTACTGAATTCAATGTGTCCTTTCCATAGACCAGCAGTCGCCAAGCGGTGGTGCGCGGACCAATGCTGGTTGTGAGGTCCAAAAGGTTGGCAACCACTGGTTTAAGGAAACCTTTGGAGCAGCTGTCACCAACCGGTGGCCCGCGGACCAATGCTGGTCTATGAGATCCAAAAGACTGGCGACCACTGCCCTAGACAGTGCCCAAGAAGCTCCCAATAGAGCTCCCAATCTCTAGATAATGTTACAACCGAAAACAGTTCATGCTTAGGAACTGAAAGTATAATTAGAGGTACTGACTGATCGATAATGTTTTCTGCCACCATGATCTAGATACTTGAGCAAAGAGTAATGAGTGGCTATGTTGCCATGTTGAAGAACAAGGGAATTTTCATTCTTGACTAACCTTTTTATCAACTTCAAGATCAGTGGTGGGTTTCTTGGAACAGGCATGGTCTCCCTGCTCTTCAGAACCCGCATCAGAACACTCAGAAATTCCACCATCTTCTGAATCAGAACAATCCTTTTCTTTAACCTGATTTTCTAGGAGTGCAGGGACCTTAAAAATATTACAGAACCATGTTATTCTAAACCAATCAGTTATTTATTGTTATCAGATTTGTTAATGCCAGAATTCAGATTTTTAACCTTGCAGATATTCTTTGAAAAACAAAAGCCTCTACTACAACATCCAAACAACAGAATCAAAGTGAGGGAGGAAGCCTGGAAGTACCCATTCCAATAAGGCTCAAAAACATACCCACACGAAGAAATGGGGGCTTTATGGATGACCCAGAGAAACAACATAACTGTTCCACTTCAGAAAAGGAGCACTGAGTTGGGATTCGGAAGGACAGTTATGTGCTGTGTAACATTGGGGCTATTATCTGAGCAATACATGGTTAGGCGATTCATCATTGTGCACTGTCAGCCTACTGCTGTAATGGTATGTGATATAGTACTTTGATACCACTGTGAGCAGTTTTGTTTACACCAGCATGACATAAACATGTGAGCTATGTGTTGCACTATGATGCTATGTCAATAGGCAATAGGAACTTTCCAGCTCTACTATGTTATTTTACTAAAGGCCTGAGATGCACGAAATTCGTGCAAGAGTAGGCCTTCATAGCCCTGGCGGCTGCCTGGATCCCATGGCTGCAGCCCAGGCTTTATCTGGAAGGTCACTGGAAGGATGTTCAGTCTAATTAGCATATTATGCTTTTATTATTATAGATGGGCCCACAATCATATATGCAGTAATGACTGAGAAATAGAAGTAAAAAATACTTATTTGAATTAACTTTACAGCTGTTTGCCTATGAATCAAATTTGAAGTGACAATTATTAATCTGATCAAGAGGGAATATGATATTTAAACTAAATAAATTTTCTTTTTTTCCATGAAGTTTAGCTTTTAAAGCAGCAGGAAGCACTTTCTTAAAAGAGGTTTTCTTTTTTAAGAAAAAAAAAGTAACATTTAACAGTCAATTTCTCCCATAAAAGAGAAAGTAAATTTTCAGAGCAAACTGTGACCCTTTATGCTTAAGCCTTTAATTAAAACATTAAATGAAATAAGAACTATCTTCATAATTGCTTAAAGTAGAATTAATCCCTGTCTTTCTAAATTGCAAAACAAAACAAGATTGTTTTAAGAAAAAACACTGTAGGGATGGAGCACTCTCAGACTGCGAAGCTCCTGAGATTGTTCTTCATGCATACTTTTATTTTTTTTTTTTTCATGCATACTTTTAATAAGCAAGTTGTAAAAAGATCAACAAGCACATAACTAATCATTAGTTACTTCACAAAGAAAGACCAGATACAAAAAGGATCAATGCCTCAGCTATACAACAAGACAAGTCAGAGGCAAAATGAAAAATAAACCATAAATTTCAGTATTTCAGTCATATGGTTAAAAAGAATGAACACAAAAAGGGCATTTTGAAAATGCTAGTAGACTTTGAAAGTATATATATAAAAACAATACCACTATTAATTCTAATAATACTTTACATTAATTGTTATATCCTTTAACAGAATTTTCACATAAATAAATAGCAACACATATTGTTTATACCTTCTGAACGCCTGACAAATCTTTCTTCAATCCTGTGACGGTTTGATATAGAATCTTGTAACCAAAAAGAAAAAATAAATTAACATAAAACTAGACAATGAAATAACACACTCCAATATTAAGAAATAACACCATAGGTTAAATGATATATTGTGGTATTATAAAAAGGTGCCTAAAATTTATCTCATAGAAAAGAGAAAATGTATAGCATGGGTGTTATTCTTGTCCACCAAGCACACAAGCATCGGCAAATTCCAACCCACAGCCCAAATCCAACAGATAGACTGATGGTTTCTATTAATGAACATTCAAAATCAATTTGATGATGGAACACTCTAACTTTTAATCTCAACTAAATGAAATGTATTCTCTCCCGAAAATAACTCCATTCTTCTTTCATTAGTAGACCTATATCATAGAAAGCTGTATTCAATTATTAAAATGTTTTTTATTTCATCAATAAAAATTTGGAGGAAAAATAATTTTCTCTCTTTTTATATAATAACCTACATAGTAGCCTCAATTTTACTTCTTTGCCTGCAAAGCCTAAAATACTTACTATCTGGCCCTTTAACAGAAAAAATTTCCAGACCCTGTAATATATGTTAATGGATCCAGTATAATACCATTTATATCTTAGACTTCTATACAAACCTTCTATACAGTCTGTTGGACTCATTCAACTGTATCATTTTCCTTCATAAACACCAATGTATTCCCTTTACATCCAATGTGGACAAAGGACATATTAATGTAATTAGCCATCTCACTAGTTTAGAAGCCAACATTTGAGATTGCAGGTTGGGGAAGGTAGCTTTCTTTGTAAACTTGTTTGCTACATATAAACCCAGCTACTCACATTATCTTGTTGGGCATTCATGGCCATGTCCTCTTCCTTCAATTTCATCATTATATCCATGTCCCTCTCATAGTTTTTTACTTCATTCAAGGTTCTAGGAATATATGCTCGCTTAAACACCTAACAAACATAGAGGAAAAATAAAATTGAAACTGCCATTCACACACTTCTCACATTTGCTCAGCATCCTCACCCCCATCAAGTCATAAAAAATAAAAGTCCATCCTCATCATCTGCAACACTAGTTCTCAGCCAGGCTGCCTGCACAGGGCTGGTCTGGGGTAGCATGTGCTGTGTGCTTTGCCAAAAGTAATTTGTTACCAATGATAAAAGACAAAATATGTGATTTAAGGATACCCTTAGAATTATACTTTTCTCTCCTCATTTGCAGTTCAAAAAGTTTTTCTGAATGGAAGAGAAAGGAATGTAATTGCCTGGCTGTGCCTTATGTTCTGACACAGGAACATCATCCACTCTGTGCTACAGTGAAAAAAAGATTTAGAATTGCTGATAAACATAGGAGTATCTTGTAGTCATCCAGCAGCCTAATAGCTGAGAGAAATAAAAATAAAATAAAATAAAACCTACTATGGATCATCTTCACAAAAAATACACTGATTCCGGAGATTAAAATAATTTTCTTCTTACCAAACATAAATTTTTAAACTCTAAATAATTACTGGAATCAACATTTAAATTATTTAAAAATCCACACTTGCACCCTAGCTTGTTTGGCTCAGTGGATAGAGCATCAGTCTATGAACTAAAGGGTCCCAGGTTCGATTCCGGTCAAGGGCACATGCCCAGGTTGCAGGCTTGATCCCCAGTAGGGGGGCATGCAGGAGGCAGCCAATCAATGATTCTCTCTCACCACTTATCCTCTGTTTGATCATCATTTTTTCTTTTTCTGTTTGATCATCATTGTTTCTTTCTCCCTTTCCCTCTTCCTTTCTCTCTGAAATCAATAAAAATATATTTTAAAAATAAGTAAATAAAATAAAAATCCACATTTGCAAACTAAAATAGGCTTTTCCTTCTTGAATCATAAATTTCAACAGGTTCTTTAAAATGTTTTCCACCTAGGATATTGGGTTAATCAGCTGCTGAGTAGTATTAAGTAATCAACTGCTTATCTATTAAAATCAAGTTCATGCATTAACAATATTTTTAAAAGACCTTAAAGGACAAGTGTTTCCTAAGGTTATGAAAAGATGATAAATCTTACCTCTTCATCCACATGATCTTGGCTGGACCTTTCCTCCTTGGTCCTTTGAGATGCTATTTCCATGGCCTTGGAAAGAAAAACTATTACTTTCCTTCACATTCAACCTACAGAAAATACATCCATTTCCCAATTTTAGTATAAATCTGTTCTAATCTTTCTTAGTAGTACCTCTTCACATTTCTTTAAAAAAAGGACTTGGTGTCCTCTAGTGGTCAGTTTAGCTTTCCGTGTTAAACCTCACAAAAATGGTTGCCATCAACCCAAAAGTAACAGAATAAAACGGACTTCTCTAACCTCAGGGAATCCCTAGCCCCTTCCTCAAACATTACTTTTACTAATTTCTAAACAATTAGAAAAAATACCTACTAAAGGAAAACAAAGTACCAAAGAATGAAAGAACTATTCCTTAGCTCTTCAGCAGCCAATGAAGGGAGTCAATGAGAAAGCGAATTGTTCTCTAATTTGAGTATATGACTCCAATGCCACTGCAGCATAAACCACCAAAGAAAGCAATCTGAACAATGACTGACAGTAAAAATGTAATAAAGATTCTACAGGATTCTTCTGGCTTGTGAAACTGTAAAACTGAAAATCTGTTCTCTATCTATTTAGAATATACAGAAAAAAGGAATAGCTGTTCTAGGTGGTTTTTTCTTTAAGGTAAGACACTAAAATCAGTGTTATAGAATTTAGGAATAAAAATGTTGTGATACATATTCATTCAATTAATATATGTGATTACTTACTATTACCAGGTACAAATTAGGTACTGGCAATACAGGAATAAAACCTCTGCCTGGCAAGTGCGGCTCAGTGGTTGAGCATTGACCCATGAATGAGAAGGTCACGGATCAATTCCCATTCAGAGCACATGCCCAGATAGTGGGCTCGATCCCCAGTAGGGAGCATGCAGAAGTCAGCCGATGGATGATTCTCTCTCATCACTGATGTTTCTCTATCTCTCCCTCTCCCTGCTTCTCTCTGAAATCAATAAAAACATGTATTAAAAAAAAAATTTTAAAAAAAAGACTAAAATTCCTGTCCTTTAGGAGTCCATAGTCAAAGTAGAGACTGACAAAATAAATTTAAAAAAAACTTTATATATTAACTGATACAATGTGACTACTTCAATTATAGTTACACTAGGGGCCAGGTGTACAAAATTTATGCATGGAGGTGGGAGTGTCCCTTAATCCAGCCTGCATGCTCTCCAATCTGGGACCCCTCAAGGGATGTGCAACTGCTGTCTCACAATGCAAGATTCCTGGCTCCCAACCACTAGCCTGCCTGATTGCCCCTAACCATTTCTGCCTGCAGCCTGACCACTCCCTTGCCAGCCTGATCAATGCCTAACTGCTCCCCTAGTGGCCCAATTGCCCCTAACTGCCCTCCCCTGCCAGCCTGGTCACCCTAACTGCCCTCCCCTGCTGGCCTGATCGCCCACAACTGCCCTCCCCTACTGGCCATCTTTGACCTCATTGGGGCAGCCATCTTGTGTGTTGGAGTGCCGGTCAATTTGCATATTACCTCTTTATTAGATAGGTGTAGGACCCCAATGCACAAATACGTGCATCTTGAAAGGAACTGTGGGCTACGAGGCTACAGGGGGCACCTATGTGGGTCTCGGCCCATCCTCTGAGGCCCTGCTCACCCCTCCCACCGTGGCTGCCAGTCCCGTCTGCCAGCAGCCCCACTCCTGCCGCCGTTACCACGCACTGATAGCGCCAGCCCTGCTTGCCCCACCGATGGCACGGAGTGATTGGGGCCAGCACCAGCAGCAGGCGCAAGCAGGGCCAGCGCCATCGGTGGGTGCAAGTGGCAGCTGCTGCCCCAATTGCCCCTCAGAAGCAAGGGAAGGTGGAGAAGCCCTCAGGGGTGATAGGGGCCAGCAGCCACTGCTTGCACCAACAGTGCCGAGTGATCAGGACCAGCTAGCAGTGGGTGCGAGCAGGGCAGTTGCCGGCCACCAGCAGCAGGTGCAAGTGCTGAGCAGGACCATGGTGTGCGGGAGCAAAGAATTTTCAGTACCCACCAGAGGCTCACCTCTATGACAGCGACCAGCACCCCACCTTGGTCTGGCACCCCCCATTCACCTGCCACCATCCCACTGTGGCCAATGCCCACCATGTTCCATGTGCACCCTCTGGTGGTCAGCACATGTCATAGCTACTGGCTGTACGGCTGTTTTATCTATTTGTATATTAGGGTTTTATATATAGAGATAATATGAAAATATTTGTGTATCTGTATTCTCTTAATCCAACCACTGTTGCATTGAAAATATTTAAGCCCTGGCTAGTGCAACTCAGCTGAATGTCGTCCAGCGCACAGACTGCAGGTTTGATCCCTAGGTCAGGGAGCATACAGTGTGTTTTTTCTCTGTTTCCTATAAAGTTGTTCCCTTGTAAAGCTGTTGTTAACTTTTTTCTTCTGATAGAAGAAAGTATAAAGAACTCTTTTAACTAAAAATAATCTGATTAAAAACAGACAAAAGACTTTAATAGACATGTCTCTAAAAAAGATAATACAGCCAAAACCGGTTTGGCTCAGTGTATAGAGCATCGGTCTGCAGACTGAAAGGTCCCAGGTTCGATTCCGGTCAAGGGCATGTATGTTGGTTGTAGGCACATCCCCAGTAGGGGGTGTGCAAGAGGCAGCTGGTCAATGTTTCTCTCTCATCGATGTTTCTAGCTCTCTCTCTCTCTCTCTCTCCCTTCCTCTCTGTGAAAAAATCAATAAAATATATTTTAAAAAAGAAAAAGAAAAAGAAAAAGAGCTAGCAATGCACAATTAAAAAAATAATAATAATTAAAAAAAATAAAAAAGATAATACAAATCTATGGACGGATGATGATAGCAGCTGCACAACAATGTGAATGTTCTTACTGACACTGAACTATACACTTAAAAATGCTTAAAATGGTAAATTTTATGCTTTGTATATTTTACCACAATTTAACCCTTTGCACTCCGAACCATTCTGGACATTGGCTACCAGCTACTCAACGCTACTTTGCGGCAGAAACGTGCGTTGAATTAACTCAATTCCCCGTAATCACTAATAAACTGCAATGTTCCCTGAGAGGGGACAGCGGAGTGCAAAGGGTTAAAATTTTATGTGATTTAGAAGGGCCTATGAAAAACAAAGGAATTAATGACCAAAGGCTAACAGCAGATTTCTTACTAAATTTCCCTAACTTTGACAACAATGTAATCTTGCCTAATGATTAAAGTCAAGAAACCTGGCTTTACAGTTGGCTTTTTACTATACTTTTGATTTTTCCTTCTGTGAAATCGAAGATAAAGGTTTCAGGAAACTGTCAAATGAACAAATATTATGTGGAGCAATTTAAGTCCTCAGAAGTGCCATAAATCTAAATTACTACTGTTATTTTCTATTTTTTTTTTCCCTTGCTCCATCTCACCTTTGAGAGATAAGCATCCATGTTCTCTTGTGTAATTGATGGGTCTGTGACAAATTCAAAGAGCTCCCGCACAGTCATCACAGCAACGTTGTGCTTTAAAAAGAAATCTGTCAGAAGAAAAATGTTAATGACAGCTTAACAAGGAAATAACTTTATAGAGAAACAAAGAAATAAAAACATACCATCTGCCAGCTACTGATGTATCACTGCATCAAATAATTCAGTGCCAAAATTTTATATCAACAGAGTGTAGAACCAACACACACAAACAAGCTGGGAGAAAACTACAATTTTCACTCACCATTGACATTAGCACAATCTTTTCTCAAGAACTCCAAGGCATGTGGGTGGTCATGCTCCACAGACTGAGAGACGTCAATGATGTACACACCCCCACCACTGTACCTGCGGGTCACACAGGCAGGGATGTGAGAAACACCAGGGATGTGCACACTTCCATCCACTATGGTGCTGTGAGGGCTTAATTCAATGACTAAGGTCACTAAAGGCAGGAAACACACTTACACAGTGACCATGTGGAAGCCAACTTTAAAACGTTAGAATTTACTATGACATTTTAGAATTGGAATTTTATTTTATTTATTTATTTTTTAAATATATTTTATTGATTTTTTACGGAGAGGAAAGGAGAGAGATAGAGAGCTAGAAACGTCGATGAGAGAGAAACATCGACCAGTTGCCTCTTGCACACGCAACCAAGGTACATGCCCTTGACCAGAATCGAACCCGGGACCTTTCAGTCCGCAGACCGACGCTCTACCACTGAGCCAAACCGGTTTCGGCTGGAATTTTATTTTTTTAAAGGACATGAAACTACTTATGTGAAGCTCCTAAGGGACAAAAGATACTCACAGCATGTTAAATTCACTGAGATCTGCATGGACCAGTCTGGCATCCTGATACATTATTCTCATGTATTGAATGACCTGCAAGTACAACTCACGAGCCTTGGATTCTGATAATTGGATGTTTTTCAAGAGGGGTGCTGGCCTTTAATAAGAATAAAATAAACAATGAAAATAAACTGATGGGACCAAGTTTTCTTGCTTTATACTACATTTATTACAGGCACTTCTCTTCTACAACTCATCATTGAACAACCTGGCTCACTATAAATGTTTCCTTCCAGAAACTAGTCAATAAACAGGTATTGTACAAAACAGTCCTCAAAACATATTATAAATTAATAATTCTATGCACTAATACAATGGAAGAGTCATAAAAATATTCTAAGATTAAACTAATTCAAAACAATTAAAAATATAATTCTGAATATGTACTTATTAGGCCATCCACATACTCACATGTCATCTTTACCAATGAAACCCATGACGAGAACATGACTTCGTAGCAGGATGGGTTCTGGGCATGGGATCCCTGCTGTGTTCAGCCTGTGATATTAAAATAGGTAAAACGACAAATGAAAAGGCTAAATACAGCATCAAAACAATTACAACTTTAGTACACAAGATTAATATTGCTATTAGGAAACAGCACCAGGATCTTCCAATTGTATTACTACTGTATTTCAAAAACTATTAAGACACTAGTGATTTTAACTGGGACCATCATGCACTATCAAGAATGACAAAACACTGGAAATTCAACAACAGCATCCCATAGTCTCTAACACCCAATCCAATTCCAGAGATGTTAAACTTTGAAAAAAATGAGACTCAGAGTTGATAAAATATAACAGATGTGTCTGTGACGATCTTTCGAGCTGATTAGCCTGAGCAATGATTAGTAAAAACAGCTGGACTCATACCTAATAGCTAACTTCCCAAATTTCAGAAAGGCTTTTAAAACAATCATTAATACCTACTTAATATTAAAATAGCCAGCGGAAGTCACTTATGTACAGCAGATAAGAAGGTGTTAACTCAGAGAATATATAAATGTGTCCAAAATTGGACTGAAATAAGGAAAGGAAACTGATAAAGAGTTTTGGACTTAACAAAACTAAAACTCTAATACCTATTTTAAAATGATCCATCATTCTCACAATTTAATTAAGTCACTTGCCTGCTTAAGATTCTATAACAGCTCCTTATCAACCTCAGTATCAATTCTAAAAGTTCTTACATGGCTTCTAAGGCTCTTTAAATGACCCAGACAAGATACAGTGGCTCCTTCTTGTCCAACTTCCCTCAGCAAATCTAATGGATCTGTGTCCCTAGATTTAAACAGAACCACTGGGATCTATGGGTGGGAAAGAGCTGAAGCCAATGTGCAGGACACAGCACAGACACCCCCAGTCACCTGATCAAGTTCCTCATTTCTTTTTCTGCCCAAGTTTTCACCATCTTTCTGGGGTTTCCTTTACAATAGCCATGACGAAATCTTGAACAAGAAAAAGATTTATTTAAATCATTCCATTCTAATTTTTATTTTTTAAGATATAGAAATTAAGCTAACTGAAGAAAAAAATCTGAGCTCACCTGAATTCTCCACTTACATACTTATCCCGATCTTTGAACACCAAAATAGAAGTTTTATAAATTTTGATTGCTCTGCTCTCTCCATTTGTTGTGCTAGCATGGTATACATTAGCCTATTTTAAACCAGAGAAAATTAAGTTTATGTTAAATAACTACAAACAGTGTTTTACTTTTTCAATCTATTTGATTCTATGTTCAAAAGTTTTTTTTAAAAAAGTTGAATTAACTGAAATAATAGGCATAAGGAACATCATCTTTTGAATATATGAATTAAAATATAAACCATCATACCAAAAGACACAGTAAATATATCTCCAATTACACATATAGCAAAATCCAACTTAAATACATGTGAGAAGCGATTTAAAACATTTTTATATCTTAAACATGTGAAAAATAAATGAAGACATCCTCATATCACATGATTTATAAATTGAATTTTACTAAGACCTGCTTCCCATTGAATGAGTTGCTAATTTAAAAACACGCTTGTCTTTCTGCACATCCATATACAAAGAAAAAAATGAGAAACGACATTAGCTGACTACAGAAAGGAGACCATACCTCTTTGCCCCAATTAGTACTATTTTTTTTTTAATATATTTTTATTGATTTTACACAGAGAGGAACTGAGAGGGACAGAGAGTTAGAAACGTCGATGAGAAAGAAACACCGACCAGCTGCCTCTTGCACACCACCCACTGGGGATGTGCCCACAACCAAGGTACATGCCCTTGACCGGAATCGAACCCGGGACCTTTCAGTCCGCAGGCCGACGCTCTATCCACTAAGCCAAACCGGTCCCGGCCCAATTAGTACTATTTGATTAGGACTCAGGCCTGCAGTAACTTGACCATCTAAGTGTACTGCTGAGTTGGACTCATGATACATTAGAGTAATGACAGTAGAGAAAAGGCATAATTATGTGCACAATTTTCTACTGTTCCATAAATATTAATAAAACCATTTTTAGAAACACAGGTTAAACTATCTTGACTTGTATATAGGAACTTACTTTCTTTTTAAAGGAACATTTTAATTACAAAATGCCTTAATTCATTTCTTGTCTGAAATAAGAAAACTAACATGAAAACAAACATTCAGGCATCCAAAGAAAAGCTCACTTCTTTTCCTGTGCTAATGCAGCCATTTATCTCTGATATGATTCCTCTAGTCAACATCTTGAATAATATCATTCGTGTTCTGGGATCCAACACCTAAAAAGAGATGCCAAAAACAGAATTTCAGAAAGATAAACCAATTATTTCTCATTGAAGAATTTGACAATTAATAAACTGAAGAGTCTAACTATACCATGCCATCCTGGTTGGCTAAATGAGAGTTGCTATTATGGTACTTTCATTCATTCTAATTTTTAGTAAAGAGAATGTGAGGTGGAGGCCACAGGAACCATGGAGACAACAAACCAGAGAGACAATTAACTTATTGTTCATTCAGTCATAGAAATCAAAGGCTACCAAGTCCAACATATGTTAATAGAAACACAAAGCAAACTACATAAGCAACTTTACATTTTCTAGTTTACCACATTAAAAAATGTCCAAGATAACAATTAAATTAGTTTTGATAAGTTTTTAATCCAATACATTTAAAACACTACCATTTCAACATGTAATCAATATTTAAAAACTTAGTAAGAGATTTAACATTCTGTAACCATAAGTCTTCAAAACCCAGTGTGTATTTACATTTATGGCATATGTATCTCATTCAAACCTGCCACATTCCAAGTGCTTAGTGGCCACTCTATTTGAAACAGGAGTCAGCATCCTACATCTAATGACTGAAATTCAGGCTGCAGTCTATTTCTCTACAGCCTACAAACTAAAAACTGTTTTTGTATTTTAAAATATTTAAGAAAGAAATAAGAAAGAAAGAAAGAAAGAAAGAAAGAAAGAAAGAAAGAAAGAAAGAAAGAAAGAAAGAAAGAAAGAGAAAGAAAGAAAGAAAGAAAGAAAGAAAGAAAGAAAGAAAGAAAGAAAGAAAGAAAGAAAGAAAGAAAGAGAATTGTAAAAGTATTTATTCTTTAGTACTTAAAAGTTTGCAGCTCCTTGCTATAGATGAGTAAGTCAGGGAAAGGATTTCCTTCCAAGTCAGAGCTGTCAATTTTGAAGAAAAACTTCAAAGCCCAGCCAGCGTGGCTCAGTGGTTGATCGTCAACCTATGAACCAGGAGGTCACGGTTCGATTCCGTCAGGACACATGCTGGGGTTGCAGACTCAATACCCAGTGAGGCCATGCAGGAGGCAGCTGATGAACAATTCTCTCTCATCACTGATGTTTCCATCTCTCTCCCTCTCACTTCTCCTCTAAAATCAATAAAACTGTTTAAAAAAAAAAAAAGAAGACCCCAGTCTTCTTTAACAAACAGGAGACAACGAACTAAAGCCTGCTCCAAGTCCAGTTTTGAAACTGAAGCAACTACATATCTACATGCAATTTCAAGGGAGACCGCTCCTCATGGCTCAGACAGACCCTCTAGCTCCATAAAGTGAGACAGTGTCAAATGGCCAAATCGTATTATATTCTAGGGTAGGGGTGGGGAACATTAAAGGCCCACAAAATCATTTGGTCCAGCCCTGCCAAAGCATTAGGGGTGAGCTAATTAAATGTTTGGCCAAACAGAGCAGGCTAATTTTTAAGCTGATAATTTTGTATGGTCCGTGAATGATGTAAAAAAATATCCAAATAGCTCTTGGCAGAAAAAAGGTTCCCCACCCTTGCTCTAGAGTCTATTTTCAATGAGGTGGATGCAGTCATACCAGAACTCAAAGGTTAATAGAAACAAAATAATAATAAAAAACTGCAGAACTAAAACCCAAACTACATCCATAGTAATGGGAAGAGAATAAAAGTGAGCCGAAACTGGTTTGGCTCAGTGTTTAGAGCGTCGGTCTGCAGACTGAAAGGCCCCAGGTTCCATTCCAGTCAAGGGCATGTACACTGATTGCAGGCACATCCCCAGTGGGGAGTACAGGAGGCAGCTGGTCGATGTTTCTCTCTTGTCGATGTTTCTAGCTCTCTATCCCTCTCCCTTCCTCTCTGTAAGAAATCAATAAAATATATTAAAAAAAAAAAGAATAAAAGTGAGTGAGTAGGCCATAACTAACATTCCTTCTCTATGGCACAGGTAAATTGCGGGAGTGTAAGCTGGCTGAACACAGGAATCCAGATAAAAACAGTAGTCAAGTTAGTGGGTAGAAAGGAGCAACATATTGAAATGGCTTAAAAACAAAATAGGTAAAGAGAAATATAACAGAATAAACTTACAAATATATGCTTCATAAAAACAACTTGAGACTCAAGATACATAATCTCATTCAAAATTAATTTCAAAAGAGAAAAAGGAAGAATTTTCTGCCTGAGTTATTTTTAGGCTCTTTGAAAACTAAAGTTGCCTCATCTGTGTGTGCGGGTCCATACTTTGTCTTCAATCAGAAAAAGAAAGCATACACAAAAAATAAATTAGAGAACAATGGAGACACAGATCTCAGTCCTGACTAAATGTAAAATTCTTCAATTGCATAAATGACTCTAGAGCTCACATACAGTGTTACTTCTTTGGGGATTGATATAAATAGTAAAAGGGGTGCATGTCTTAAACCAAGGATCTTTAGGTCAAAGGGATACTACTCCAAAACGTATTTGTACATATGGGTGTGGGCAGGGAGAAGGTGATAGGCTGCAGTAGCAATGTTCTAAGCTTATGACTTGGTTCACATAAAAAATCTGGGTGAATGCTAACATCCAATTATAACCCTCTACATATGGGAAAAATAGGGGCCAATTTTCTCCCATTATTGACAGAAAGAAACAAATAGATAAACCAAGATGGCGGTGTAGGTGAGCAACTGGTCTGCCACTCCCACAACAATCTAAAAATTAAAACTAATATGAAGAACATCTATCATCCAAAACCACGGGAAGGAGGTACTGGGTAGTTAATAGTCAACAATTAACATGATAATAAGAGCAATGAGGGACAGATGGGGCTCTTAAAATGTCATCAGCTGGAGAAATGGAAGAATGGCAGGCCTGGAGCAATCAGGCCCGTAGCAGCAGCAGCCAGGCCCAGAGCAGCTAGGCCCGGAGCAACAGCAGCCAGACCCAGAGCAGCATCCAGGCCTGGAGCAGCCAAGTCCAGAGCAGCCAGGCCCGAAGCAGCCAGGCCCAGAGCAGCAGCAGCCAGGCCTGGAGCAGCAGCAGCCAGGCCCGGAGTAGCCAGGCCCGGAGTGTTGTGGGGTTGAACCCTGGGTTTAAAATGAAAGGAGCAATGCAGCCAATTCGGGTGCCAGAGTGTTATGTCTGTCATCACAATGGACTCAGAGAAGCTCCTATGTCCCGTCACCCAAAAGGACTGAGAGTTGCCCAGATGACAGCAAAGTGGGAGAAGAAAACTTAGGCTACACAAGGGACTGAGGTGCCAACATCTGAAGAAATTAAAGACTGAAATGGAAGCTATCAATACTTCTTTAATCATGTTCCTGCTCATGCTAGCATCTGTAAGCTTCCAGTCTTCTGCAAAGTCTTGTGCAGCAAGCCCAAGGACTCTGAGTAAATCTACACCAGCAACAAGAGAAACTCGTTTAGTAGCTAAAAATATTAATATGTGCATAATTCTCATTTTGTTGTTTTGCATTGGCATTGGCATTGTTGTTATTATTTAATAGCCAGAGTTTTGCTCTTGACGTTCAAGTTTTGAAAATAACATGTATGTAATTAAAAAAAAAAAAAAAAAGAAACAAACAAACAAATAAAAGCACAACTTCTAAACCAAGTAAGGGATTTCTAATTGAAACTGTTAAGGCACTACCCATCTCTTTCTCACACGCATTACCGCCCATCCTATATTGTGGCAGATACCTGACCTATCTTCTGAGAAAGTTCACAAAATTCCTGCAAACCTTCTTTAAGACAAGAGAAAAGATTCTTGGTCTTTTAATCAATTCTGCTTCCTCCTAGATGATGAAAGCATTGCGAAGTGGCCTCACAGGGCTACAGAATGGGACAAGATTCAAATTTGCCTATCAATAGTCTTACCTAATAATAGACAAACATGTAAATTGACTGCACCTCCACTACACCCTCAGCCAATCAGAGTGAGTATGCAAATTAGATGGCCAACGATGACGGACACCCAGCTGCTCTAGGAGCGGAGTGACCCGGCGGGGCAGGATGCCTGCTATGAGAGGGAAAGCTGAGGGCAAATGGATCTACAGGACGGAGTGTCGCAGTGAAGACAAGACTGCAGACACCTGAGTCTGCAGCAAAGATGAAGAAGGCAATCTCTGGCCAGAGCGAAGGCCTGGGTCCTGCGTGCCAGAGGAAAACCGGTGTTAGAAGCCAAGGGAAGGAAGGCCTCTTGTAGGAATCTCTTTGTGCAACGGGCCTCTAGTTATATTAAAAAGCTAAATGTAGATTTCTAAATTCAACTATAAAAAAGGAGTAGCTTTTTTTCTTATTAAATTTTTAATTTTTTTAAAATAAATCTTTATTGTTCAGATTATTACAGGTGTTTCTATATTTTGTCCCCATAGCTCCTCTCCACCAGATTCCCCACCCCACTCCACGCCCTTACCCCTTGCCACTGCCTTCATCCATAGGTGTAAGACTTTTGTCCAATCTCTTCACACACCCTTCAGACTCCCTACCCCCTGAGAATTGCCAAGCCACTCCTTTTCTACGTCCCTGATTCCATTATATTCACCAGTCTATTCTGTTCTTCAAATTTTTCATTCACTTGATTTTTAGATTCACTTGTTGGCAGGTATGTATTTGATGTCTTCTTATTGTTCATAATTTTTAATTTTACCTTTTTCTTCTTCCTCTTCTTAAAGAATACCCTTCAGCATTTCATGTAATCCTGGTTTGGTTGTGATGAACTCCTTTAGCTTTTTCTTGTCTGTGAAGCTCTTTATCTGACCTATAATTCTGAATAATAGCTTTGCTGGGTAGAGTAATCTTGGTTATAGGTTCTTGCTGTTCATCACTTTGAATATTTCTTGCCACTCCCTTCTGGCCTGCATAGTTTCTGTTGAGAAATCAGCTGACAGCCTTATGGGTACTCCCTTCTAGGTAACCGTTTTTCTCTTGCTGCTTTTAATATTCTCTTTCAGTCTTTTGCTCTTGGCATTATGATGTGTCCTGGTGTGGCTCTCTTTGGATTCCTCTTGTTTGGGATTCTGTGTGCTTCCTGAACTTGTAAGTCTATTTCTTTCACCAAGTGGGGAAAGTTTTGTGTCATTATTTCTCCTAATAGCTTTTCAATATTTTGCTCTCTCTCTTCTCCTGGCACCCCAAAAATTCGGAAGTTGGTACATTTAAAGTTTTCCCAGAGGCTTCTTACATTATCTTCATATTTTTTGGACCCTTTTTTTTTTTTGTTTTAATGGTTGGATGGTTTTTGTTTTCTCATATTTCAGATCTCTGGTTTGATCCTTGGGGTATGTTAATCTACAGTTGAGTTTCTGTATCTTCTTTATTTCTGACAGTGTATGCTTAATTTCTGACTACTCCTTTTCCATTTTTTTTGGCATTTTCATTAAGGTCCTTGAAGGGTCTCATCAAGTTTCTCAGCGGATTTTAGAAGATTCTTGAGTAACCTTATATATGTGGTTTTGAACTCTATGTCATACCGTTGTTTGCTTTCCTCCATTTCTTTAATTCATGACATGTTTCTGTGTCTGCATTTTGACTGCTTACCTGTGTTGATGGAGCAGCTTTGTGTGGTAGGTGACCTATAGGGGTCAGTAGCTCAGCCTCCCCAACCACCTGAGGTGGATGGTCTTGGTACACCCCTTTGAGGGCTGAGTGCAAAGTCTTGGTGTAGTTAAGCCTTGATTGCTGTTGGTACACTGGGAGGAATCGTCCTGCAGGCCAATTGGCTGTGGGGAACCGCTGTATTTATAATGGAAGAACTGCTGCGCTGGAGACATGCTTATGGTGCAGGACTTGCTTCAGTGGGGCTTTGGTGCTCCCTGAGTCCCCCTGTAGAATGTGTTATTTAGGGATGTGAGGAGTTAAAATCTGGTGTCTCACACTGACCACTAGGTACACTGGCTTCAGGATCTCCAATGGCGTGCAGGTCAGCTACGGTCTGAGGCCACCCTGCAGAAGCTACATTGAGAACTACAGTTTTCTCCTCTTTGCTTGGGATTTGAAGGTTTTGGAGATGTCTGAACAGGGTTGCAAGTTTGCTAGTTAAGCTATGATCGGGAAGGCCATTCATGTGCAAAAGCTGCTGCTTGGAGCTTGTGTGGGTTTGTAGGTTATGCAGGGCGGGGTCTCAGGGCATCACTAGACTAGAGTGTGGCAAACAGCAACTGAATCACACCAGCCAGGGTACAAATACTTCTTGATCCAATAAAACTTTGTGCTGCTAGCAATTATTCATGCACGCAGCTCTGCAAGCAAGCCAACCTCATTTTCTAGCCCAATGGCAGACAGTCCAGCTTCTCCCCATAGGAGTCCTGCACATCTCCCCAGAAACTGAGTTTCAGAGAAATTGGAAGCTTGTCTCTCTTTGGGTTGAAGAAAGCAACGCCTGCCGCCAGCACATATCGCGTACCTCACCTTTTCAGTGTTTGTGCACTGAATGCTCTTTTCTGCTTGTAGACCTTCCACTCAGCCAGCCCTTCCATGGCTCTGGATAATGGATGTTTTGTCTTTTAGTTGTAGTTTTGAAATTGTTGTGCAAGGCAGCAGTTTAAGGTGTTTACCTACACTGCCATCTTGGGTTCTCATTCAAGGAGTAGTTTTATACAGGAATCATTTTATTTTTTTTAATTAATTAATTTATTTATTTATTTTAAATCAATCTTTATTGTTCATATTATTACAAAGGTTCCTCATTTCTTCCCCCCTCCACCAGGTTCCCACCGCACCCTCTGCCCCCTCCCCATCCCCCATTGTCCTCATCCATAGGTTCAGTTTATGTTCAGTCTCTTCTTCCCTCCCTTTCCAAAATAGTAAATCCCTTTTCAGATAGTAAATCAGTTACTTAGCATTTTCTCATATCAATAATACCTCTACATGCCCAATGATACACTTCACACAAAAGACATTTCCCAATAGGTCCACCAGCCTCATCCAGGCCCCACCCAAGGCACTCACAGATCAACACCCCAGTCCTAAACTAACTCAACACATCCAGATCTAAGCCTTCATCACTTGATTCAGCAGACCCTCAAGTTCCCGCGAAAGTTTCCAGCCATGTCTGAGAAGCAGCCGTGGGGCAGGGGCAGGCAAGGAGCGAGCTGTTCTGGGCCTGGCTGCTCAGGGCCTGGCCTCTGTTGCTCTGGTTCATTCCACAACCAGCTGCTCCGGGTCTGGTCACTGCCGCTCCCGACCTAGTTGCTCTGGACTTGGCTGCTGCTGCTTCGGGCCTGGCCGCTCCCAGCCTGGCAGCCGCTGCTCCGGGCCTGGCCGCACCCGACCCGGCTGCTCCTCCGGGCCTGGCCGCTCCCAGCCTGGCAGCCGCTGCTCCGGGCCTGGCCGCACCCGACCCGGCTGCTCCCCTGGGCCTGGCCGCTCCCAGCCTGGCAGCCGCTGCTCCAGGCCTGGCCGCACCCGACCCGGCTTATACAGGAATAATTTTAGACATTAGCATTAGCATTTTAATATTAGCATTAAGCAAGAAGGATAAAAGCAAACTATAATTCAAAGAGAAGAAAAATGTTATTTTAAAAACTTTAAAAAAAAAAAATTGTACCTGTTCTACCGTTGCTCTGTCTGCCTTATCTTTGATGCGATACCTAACCAAAAACAAAAAGTATAGTTGATATTCAAAATTCAGTCACAGAAGCCAAATAAAAAGTTCCTATATGGATATCATTCCATGAAATTCTTAAGTAGGTAGTTTCTTTAGTAACAGATTTCAAAATCTCATCATTTCATCACTCAGTGAAATGTATTTCATTTCCCCTCAATAAGCAATTCCATTCCGTAGGGTAAAAGGAGCATATTTGCAGGGAAAAAAATTTATCCATAATTTATGAACATTAAATAAAAAAGATAGATAGGGTAAAGTGAACTATGCTATAAAAAGGAAAAGATCAAGTCTATACTGTCCTTCAAACATTTAGTACAAAATTAAAAGTCAACATATAATGCTTTCTCTTTAAAGTCCTTTTCTTCAGCCGAAACCGGTTTGGCTCAGTGGTGGAGCATTGGTCTGTGGACTGAAGGGTCCCGGGTTCAATTCCGGTCAAGGGCATGTATTATACATTGGTTGCGGGCACATCCCCGGTGGGGGGTGTGCGGGGGGCGGCTGGTCGATGTTTCTCTCTCATCGACATTTCAAGCTCTCTATCTATCTCCCTTCCTCTCTGTGAAAAATCAATAAAATATATATATAATAAAATCCTTTTCTTTAGATACAAGATACCATTTCAAGACAGTTACTGAGGTCTATATTAATATTAAAATGCTTCAGTTCACACACTAAGTGACTCAATTAGCACACAAATCTAAATTAATAAAGATTCAGATACTTGAATAAAATAACAAATGACTGGGTTGTTTCTCAAAAAGTTAGGATCACTTGGGCCTAGCAATAAACCATAAGAAAATTGATTTTTAAATTCAGTTCTAGCACTGCTAGTTATATGAAGGTTTTGGAGCTGTCTGAACAGGGTTGCAAGTTTGCTAGTTAAGCTGCGATTGGGAAGGCCATTCATATGCAAAAGCTGTCTGCTTCTATAATACATTGTTAATGTCTTAGAGTTAACAGTATATAGAAATTAGCCAGAACTTAAACAACTGGTTTTTAGAACAGAAGTGTAAATATAATCTTTTTTCGGTTGTACCATTTAAAAAATATATATCATGAATAATTTTGAAATAAATTCTAAAAGGGAGAATTTTTATGCCAAGATTTTGACCTTTTAACAGTTTAAACATTTAAACAGAAATTTACTAACACTGTTATCCTAAGACCACATTTGTGAACAAAGATATTTAAGCTAAAAAAAAAAAAAAATTAAATATACAAAATATACACCCCAAAACAAAATAGTATCCTTTGTAAAATAATGATGATCACAACACCACTTAATTTGTCTAGAATTAGTCCCTATCAGCCATGTTTTATAGTTAAAATATTACTTACATATCTGCTTCCTTTTGTCTAGACTTTTCAGTGACTTTATTTATGACAGAATCAGTAACATTTAACTTATCTGAAAAAAGAAAAAAAATCCACAATGTGAACAACATGTAAGACAGAAAGACATTAATAGTCTTTTTGAATAAGATACTTATCTCCTCTTCCTTCTCTATTTTCTAACTATTTTCTTATACATATAATGTATTTTAGTAATAAAAAGGTTTTAATGTTTTTAAAGATAAGCACTAAGTTGTGGTTTCTTGATAACAGGTGCCATTTTCATCACTGCAGCTGTAATTTTTGAGCACAGAAATCCAGATACAGAAACCCCTCAAAAATACTGTATCGGCATATGCTGAATTTCAGATACTTAATATTTTTTACAACTAATATAAATAATGTAACTGCCTGAATTCCAAGTTTAATTCTAAAAATTTCAGTCTCATTTCAAATTTTAAGTCCACGAAAGACAATGATATGATATGAGACACTGTGCTAGATTTATAACAAGTTGATGTCTACAAGAGAAAGATAATTTGTATTTTTCTCAAAACATTCTGATTCCTTACATTCAATAGCTCACTAAATGATTAATGCCTACATAAAATGTCTCTGGCAAACAAAATGTAATTACATTCAACATTCTAGTATTTTCAACATCCTACTATGAGATAATACAACTTCAAAAATCTAATACAAAACAGACAATAACTTGAATATATTTGAAACTTTGTATTCGTACACCAGAGTAGAAAAAGAACTAAAAACCATAAGATAAAATAAAATCTTTCCTTTGAAACAATATTTTTAAGTTACTAAGTTCTTTTCTCTGAGCAATATTCAGTCAGTAGTACCAATTACACTCATTTCTTTTCTTTCTTTTTTTTAATTCTCACACAAGGATATGTTTTTAATTGATTTGGAAGACGAAGAGGAAGGAAGGGAGGGAGAGGAAGAAGATGAGCAAGAGAGAGGGAGAAGAAACATCAATGTGAGAAATATTAACTGGTTGCCTCCCACCAGCACCCCAACTTGGGATCAAACCCACAATCTAGTAGTAGGTATGTGCCCTGACCAGAAATTGAATCTGTAACCTTTTCGTGTATGAGATGATGCGCCAACCAACTGAATCACACCAGTCAGGGCACAAATACTTCTTGATCCAATAAAACTTTGTAACACTTCATGTGTTTTTTTAAGAATTTCCTCATAGCCCAATGAAGAAATATATTTTACAAACTCACCTAGATTAATTTTATTCTCATATTTCCGTAAGGCCTTGTCTGCTGGAGTAGACATTTTGGCTGAATTATAGTTGGAAGGCTGTCGATTTGCCTAGAAGAAATGAGTTGCAGAATTTTAGGCACTAGTTATAAATATAAATCTAAGTTTCATCACCACATGTTTTTCCCTTAGTTCATTGTTAAGTATTAAATCATCAATACTTAGAGGAGTACCCTAAGGAAAGGTAAGAATCAATCAAATTTGCTCAAAATTATTAAAAAGGCATTTGAAATAGATTAAAGTTCCTGGCTAAAACAGAGTCTGGGGGAGATTCAACATGGTGGCTGGCAGGACAGCAGTGAGGAAGAATGAGTGAGCAAAGGAGTGAGAAAGCAGTGTGCAGACTTGCATGGTGTGTGTGAGTGTATGAGTGTGTGTGTGTGTGTGTGTGTGTAAGAGACACTTAGATCTTGCAAGAGTCTCAGGGACCAAAGATCAGGTACTTCCGGACAAAGAGCCCCTGCTAACGCCACAGGCACTCCCTGGGCAGATGCGGCTCTGGCATGGATACCCCACCATCTTGAAGGGGGAGCAGCAGCAGTTGGAAGCACGGCTTCACCACCACCCAGACTAGGCATGGACAACACCCCGGATCCATGCAGTGAGCTTCATGCCAATGGGATCCCCACCACAGGCTCCAGGACCCCGCAGTGAGTTGCAGAGTCACACGCCAAATCTGCCATGGTCTCGGGAACCCCATAGTGAGTAGCATGTGAACAGGGACTTTGTAAGTAACCCCACCAAGGCTCCAGGACCACATAGTGAGTCCCCAGCAGTGAATCCCCTGCCAGCAGGCACCAGGACCTCACAGGGAGTCACATGCCAGAGGGGCACTGTGCGCATACCCCACCGCCGATCCCAAGCACCAGCAGCTGACACCTGGGGGACCAGATCCATGGAGGAAGGGAGTATAACTCAGGACAGAGACAATCAAGGCATGAAACTCAAGGCAGACCCAGTCACTGAGATAAGAAGTTCCTGACCACAGGACTACCAGGGGCTTTAACCTCTTGGACCTCAATTAGGTTACCCAGGGCCAGAAAGGGACAGTGACTCACATTCACTTGCACTAGAGCAGCTTCCAGGAGGCCAGGATAGACACACTAAGGGACCAGATTCAACATCAGAGCAAAATACAGTGAGCCCCAACCTCACTGGCAGCAAGTCAAAGGGGAGATCCTTCCGACAAACAGGACATCAATAATCAAGTCCCAATTAAAACAGGAGAACTCAAATAACACACACAAAGGGCACTCTTAAAGCATCCAGCTCAGGTGAACAAAGAGATCACACACTGGACCCCTCAAGATACTTCCTATATTAGGCCAGCCCAAAGACTGGGGGCACAACAGTTCTGTCTAATACATAGAAGCAAATATATACAAAAAGACAGCTAAAATGAGGACACAAAGAAGCAACCCCCAAATGAGAGAAAAGGAATCTCCAGAAAAAGAACTATATGAACCAGAGGCAAACAACCTATCAGACATAGAGTTCAAAGCAATGGTAATAAAGATGCTTAAGGAACTTAGTGCAAATTACAACAGCATGAAAAGGAAAACAGAGGCCATGAACAAGAACCAAACAGTTAGAAGAATGATATACCTGACATCAAGAACACACTGGGAAGTATTAAAAGTAGACTGGATGAAGCAGAGGATTGAATCAGCAATTTGGAAGAAAAGGTAGAAATCAATACACAATTAGAGCAGCAAATGGAAAAAAAAAAATTAAAAAGCAGGAAGATAGATTAAGGGCACCCTGGGACACTATGATCTCCCTGCATGATCTACAATAATTTCTGACAATTACCTGAAAGAGAAGTGCTTCACTGGGCTGGAAAAGGTTTAGCTAAATCAGAAAGCAGGTCTAATTAAGCAAGTTTATTCTATATCTATGAAAGGTTAAGTCGACTCGTGCATGCACAATACATATAAAGCTCTCACTGGTGCCAATCACACATGTGTGTTTCCATCTGTCATTGTCAATCATGAATTTGGTTGACACTTCTATTATAGAGAAAGAGCGAATAGCAATAGTAAAATATTTCTACTAATTTCCTTTCATTATGCATGAATTCGTGCACCAAGTCACCAGTCAATAATCACCTTAAAAGTTAAAGGATAAACTGCTCCAATCAAAAGACATAGGGTAACTAAATGGATTAGAAAACATGACCCATATATATGATGTCTTGTTACAAGAGACCCACCTCAGAACAAAAGACACACAGACTGAGAATAAAGAGATAGAAAAATATATTCCATACAGATGAAAAAGGAAAAAAAGCTAGGGTAGCAATACTCACATTAGACAAAACAGATTTCAAAACAAAGGCCATAACAGGAGACAAAGAAGACCATACATAATACTAAAGAGGATGTTCAACAAGAAAACATAATATCCTAAATAATAAAAGGCTAATATGCAAATTGATCCATCGGTGGAATGACAGTCGCTATGATGCACACTGATCACCAGAAGGCAGATTATCAATGCAAGAGCTGCCCCCTGGTGGTCAGTGCACTCCAACAGGGGGAGCACTGCTCAGTCACAAGCCAGGCTCACGGCTGGCAAGTGAAGCAGCAGTAGCAAGAGTCTCTCCCACCTCCATGGCAGCACTAGGATGTCCAACTGATAGCTAAGAATGTCCACTGACACTGAGCTGTCAATCAGACATCCCACGGGTTCCCGGGCTACAAAAGGGCTCAGGCCCAGCTGTGGGACACCCGACCCAAGTGCACAAATTTTGTGCACCAGGCTTCTAGTATATACTAATAAACAGGTAATATGCCAATTAAATCGGGAGGCCTTCCAGACGTCCTTCCGGACAATGCCATGGTGGCAAGGCTGAGGCAGAGGTGATCAGGGATAATCAGGCCAGGAGAAGAGAGCACTTGGGGGTGATCAGGCTGATGAGGGGGGCAGTTGGAGGCAAACAGGCTGGCAGGAGGCCAGTTGGGAGCGAGCAGGCCAGTGGGGGGAGAGGGGAACAGTTGGAGGCGAGAAGGCCAGAGAGAGGGGAAAGTTGGGGGCAAGCAGACCACTAGGCAGAGTGGTTGGGGTGATCAGGCAGGCAGACAGGTAAGCAGTTAGGAGTCAGCAGTGCATGAATTCATGCATATTGAAAGAAAATTAATTAGAAGAAATATTTTAATATCGCTATTTGCCCTTTCTCTATAATAGAAGTGTCAGCCAGGAGTCGAATATTCCCTGAGGAGTCCCAGATTGGAGAGGGTGCAGACCGGGCTGAGGGACACCCCCCATGAACAAATTTCGTGCACCAGACCACTAATATATATATATGTATATACATACACACACACACACTGAGTGGCCAAATTATTATGATCTCTGAACACATAATAATCTGGCCATTTAGTGTATATCCTATATAAAAAAAGGCTAATATGCAAATTGTACCCTCAACCAGGAGTTCAACCAGAGGACAGGCCAGTTTAACCACCCATGTCCCCTCCTCCTGGCAGGCTGGCCAGACTTCACTCATGTATGAATTCATGCACCGGGCCTCTAGTGTACACACACACACACACACACACACACACACACACACACACAAAAGGTCTGGTGTACAAAATTTGGGAGGGTTGTCCCTCAGCCCAGCCTGCACCCTCTCCAATCTGGGACCCCTTGAGAGATGTCTATCTGATCCTGGACATCCCTCTCACAACCCAAGACTGCTGGCTCCCAACTGCTCACCTGCCTTCCTGATTGCCCCTAACTGCTTTTCCCCCAAAGCCTGATCACCCCTAACCACTCCCATACCAGTCTGATTGATGTCTAACTGCTCTCTTGCCAGCCTGTTTGCCCCCACCTTCCTACCTCTGCTGGCCTGGTCATCCCTAACTGCCCTCCCCTGCAGACTTGATTGCCCCCAACTGCCTTCCCTTGCAGGCCTGCCCTCCCCTGCTGGCCATTTTGTGTCCACATGGGAACAGCCATCTTGTGTGTTGGAGTGAGGGTCAATCTGCATATTACTCTTTTATTAAGTAGGATAGAGTCCTGGTGCATGGGTGGGGGCCAGCTAGTTTGCCCTGAAGGGGCATAATAAAGGCCATATATGTATGACAAACCCACAGCCAAAATCATACTCATGGGTAAAAATTACAAGAATTTCTCTTAACATAAGGAAAAAGAGGGATGTTGGCTTTTACCACTCTTCTTCAACACTGAGGCCCAGTGCATGGATTCATGCACCGGTGGGGTCCCTCGGCCTGGCCTGTGCTATTTTGCAATCCGGGATCCCTTGGGGGATGTCAGATAGCCAGTTTCAGCACAATCTCTGGAGGCCCAATCCAGATAGGGGGGAGCCTAATCCTGTGCATTGAGTATCTGTCCCCTGGTGGTCAGTGCACGTCACAGTGTCTGGTTGACCAGTCATTAGGTCACTTAATAACAGAAAGTTTTAGTCTCAGCAACCACACAAGAAGAAAAAAATAAAAGGCATCCACATGAAAAAGGAAAAAGAAAAACTGTCATTATTTGCATATGACGTGATACTATATATAGAGAACCCTAAACATTTCACCAAAAGACTACTGGAACTAATAAATAAACTCAGTAAAGTAGCAAGATACAAAATAAATATTCAGAAAACAGTTATATTTTTATACATCAATAATGAACTATCAAAGAAGAAAATTAAGAAAACAATTCCATTTAGAAGTGCATAAAAAAAAAAATACCTTGGAATAAACTTAACCAATGATGTAAAAGACCTGTATTCAGAAAATTGCAAGACATTGATGAGAAAAACTGATGGAAAAAAAGAAAAGAAACTGATGAAGACACAAATACGTGCAAGCATCTACTATGCAAATTAACCATCACTCCACTACATAAGCCACACCCACCATCCAATCAGAGAAAGTATGCAAATTAACCAAACAAATATGGCAGTAAATTTGATACACAGAGGGAGGGAGGAGTGAAGACTGAAGACAGCATAGAAGGAAGAGGGAGGGAATGTGGAAAGCAAAGCAGCTGCGGCTGCTGAAGGGAAAGAACTGGCAACGCGGGCAGGGCAAGGTACACAGCTGTGGTGGCAGTGAGCACGTGGCTGCGGAGATGGTGGTGATGGTGGCTGCAGGTGTAGTGGGGCTGGTGGGATGGGCAGGGCGCACCCGCCCACCCCCGCCTTGCCCGCCACAGCTGGAGAGGTGGGGGAGTGGGAGAGGTGGTGATGGTGGGCCAGAAGTCTTGCAGGAATATTCCTGCCATAGGTCACTAGTATACCACAATCATATACGAAGAATTAAAATCATTAAAATGTCCACGCTATCCAAAACAGTCTACAGATTCAACACAGTTTCTATGAAGATATCAATGGCAAATATTTCACAGAACTAGAACAAGTATTTCAAAAATTTATATGGAACCACAAAAACCCTGAATAGCCATAGCATTCTTAAAAAAGAACAAAACTGGAGGGATCACACTACCTGTAATAAAAATATTCTAAAAGGCCATAGTAATCAGGCCATAGTAAAAAGCCATGGTATTAGCATAAAAATAGACATATAGATCAATAAATCAGAACGGAGAGTACAGAAATGAACCCCTGGATAAAGAAGCTTTATGGTCAATTAATATTTGAAAAAGAAGGAAAGGACCTACAATGGACAGATAATGTGCAAAAAAATGAAACTAGACCACCTTACACCATATGCAAGAATAAATTTGCCAAAACTGGCTTGGCTCAGTGGATAGAGCATTGGTTTGTGGACTGAGCGGTCCCAGGTTCGATTCCGGTCAAGGGCATGTACATTGGTTGCGGGCACATCCCCAGTAGAGGGTGTGCAGGAGGCAGCTGGTTGATGTTCCTTTCTTATCGATATTTCTAGCTCTCTATCCCTCTCCCTTCCTCTCTGTAAAAAATGTATAATATATATATACACACACAAACACACACACACACACACACACACACACACACACATACATAGAAAGAAAATAAATTCAGCCCTAACCAGTTTGGCTCAGAGGATAGAGTGTGGTTCTGCAGACTGTGGGGTACCAGGTTCGATTCCAGTCAAGGGCATGTACCTTGATTGCAAGCACATCCCCAGTAGGGGGTGTGCAGGAGGCAGCTGACCCAGTGTTTCTCTGTTATTGAAGTTTCTAACTCTTTCCCCGTCCCTTCCTCTTTGTAAAAACTCAATAAATATATATATTTTTTAAAATAATAAATTCAAAATATAATAGACTTAAATGTAAGACTCGAAATCATAAAAATATTAGAAGAAACATAGGCAGTAATATCTCAGACATTTCTGATAACAATATTGTTTCTGATATATCTCCTTGGGCCAGAGACACAAATGAACAAATAAATAAATGGGACCTCAAAATAAAAAGTTTTTGCACAGCAAGAAAACCATCAACAAAATGAAAGGACAACCAAATGAATGGGAGAACATATTTGCCAATGATACATTTGATAAGGGATTAATACCCAAAACTTATAAAGAACTTATAAACTCAACAGCAAAAACAAACAAACAATCCAATTAAAAAATGGCCAAAGGTCCTAATAGACTCTTCTCTAAAGAGAACAAAGGACCAACAGACATATGAAAGATGCTCAATGTCACTAATCATTGGAGAAATCAAGTTAAAAACACAATGAGATATTACCTAACATCTGCCAGCATGGCTAATATTAATAAATCAACAAATAATAAGTGTTGGCGAGGATGTGAAGGAAAGAGAACCCTCATGCACTATTTGTTAGTGGGATTGGTACAGCCACTATGGAAAACAGTATGGAGTTTCCTCAAAAAAATAAAAATGGAAGTGCCTATGACCCAGCAATTCCACTTCTGGGAATATATCCAAAGAAACCCGAAATACTGATTTGAAAAAATATATGCACCCATATGTTCAGTGCAGTGCTACTTTTACAAAGCCAAGATTTGGAAGCAGCCTAAGTGTTCATTAGTAGATGAGTGGATAAAGAAGTTGTGGTACATTTATACAATGGAATACAACCTAACCTTAAAAAAAGGAGGAAATGACATCATAATTAAAATTCCAAGAGCAAAAGACAAAGAAAGAATATTAAAAACAGCAAGAGCAAAGAAGGTAGTTACATATAAAGGAGCACCTATACGATTGTCAGCTGACTTCTCAACAGAAACCATGCAGGCCAGATGGGAATGGCAAGAAATATTCAAGGTGATGAATAGTAAGAACCTACAGCCAAAGATAATCTATCCAGCAAAGCTATCACTCAGAATCGAAGGCCAGATAAAGAGCTTCACTAATAAAAAGAAGCTAAAGGAGTTCATCAACACCAAACCAGAATTATATGAATTGCTGAAGGGGGTTTTTTCAGAAGAGAAAGTAAATAAAAATTATGAACAACAAATACGTAATTATCAACAAGTGAATCTAAAAACCAAGGAAATTAAAAAAAAAATCTGATGAACAATATTAACTGTTGAATATAATAGAATCAGAAGTATGGAAGGGGAGTGAACTGACGATTCTTGGGGAAAAGGGGAGAGAGGGATGTGGAGTTTGGTTCAATGGATAGAGCTTCAGTCTGCGGACTGACGGGTCCTAGGTTCGATTCTGGTCAAGGGCATGTACATTGGTTGTGGGCACATTCCCAGTAGGGGGTGTGCAGGAGGCAGCTGGTCGATGTTTCTCTCTCATTGATGTTTCTAGCTCTCTATCCCTCCCCCTTCCTCTTGTAAAAAATCAATGAAATATATTTTAAAAAAAGAAGAAGAATCTGGGGAGGGAGGGCATGTACGGGAATGTGGGGGAGGCAATGGTAAGATATGTACACATATAATACCTTAATTTAAAAAATGAAAAGAAAAAAAAAAAGGAGGAGGAGGAGGAGGAGAGAGGTAGGTTGGGAGGCTAAGTAAAAAAGGTGAAGGGATTAAGTAAAGGAAAAAAACTCATAGACACAATTAAAAGTATGGTGATTGCCAAAGGCTGTGGTCGGCAAACTGCAGCTCTCAAGCCACATGCGGCTCTTTAGCCCCTTGAGTGTGGCTCTTCCACAAAATATCACAACCTGGGCAAGTCTATTTTGAAGAAGTTTAAGTTTAAAAGAAATTTCAATTGTTGTACTGTTGATATTTGGCTCTGTTGACTATGAGTTTGCCGACCACTGGCCAAAGGGAAAGAGGAGTTGGGAGAGGTAAAAGAGGATAAAAGGGGAATTGTATTGGAAGAAGACATGACTAGGGATGGTGAACACACAATCCAATATACAGAAGATGTACTGTAGAATCATATAACTGAAACCTATATAATTTTATTAACCAAGTCATCCCAATAAATTCAATTTTTTAAAAAACAGAAGACCCTGAAAAAAACAAATAAAAAGACATAAGCAAACAACATAAAGATTTATAGAATAATTTATAAAAATACCTGTGGGTTACTTCCTCCATTAGAGATATAACATTTGGTGAGTTTTCCAACTCCATCAACCCAGTCCCAATCATCTTCATCATCATAATCCTCCTCTTCTTCCTCATCTTCTATCTCATCTTCATCCATCTTCTCATTCACATTATTTTGAAAGTGTTCAAACAGAATGCCATCTCCCTCTTTGACTGTCTTCAAGTCAATGTTTTCACTAGAAATAACAAAATTTTAGTATATTTAAATACTCTAATTAGATTTACATATGATTTTATTTACATCATAATAGGCTAAATCTGTAACAATAAAACCAAAATGTTCCCTTACAATATATCTGCCAATTAACATAATTTTAGTACCAAGTTATTCTGTTTTTCAGAGTTCTGTCCCAATTGTTTGCATATTCTCTAGGCCCTACTAAAGAAGAACATCAGGTGTTAAATCTACCTCTGCCTAAGTTAGAATTTATATTGCTAACTTCTCTGCTGAAAGAACTGGCTCTGATCAATACTCCAAACCTGACTAGGAAAACTACTTACAGAGCTGATTTAAGAGAGGGTAAAAGAAAAAAAAAGAAAAAAAAACTTTCTGACAAAACTTGGAAATAAGTCTAAAACAGCTTTACCTTGAACTCAATACTATTTTGCATCAAAAGCTGTATTCAAGAATTGTGTTATACAAAGAATTTCAAATCACCATTGTTCATGAAGGGACGGAATGGGGAATATAAGCACCACAAATAAGAAAGTAGGCTTGATATACTTACACAGGAAAAAAGATTGTCAAGCCCAGAGAACATGCCCAGAGTAAAGAAAGCACAACTAATAGGGTTTGTTTTTGTCAAGTGAGAATTCAGACCTAGTGTTACATATTTCCTTAGTTTTTCAAGAGAAACCAGGAGTATGGATTTTTGTGTAAAATCTCCCACTTAATTGGAAAGTTCAATTTACTAAAACACTGTGCCTACCAAACAAAACATGTCTGAACATCAGACTTTACAGAGGTATTATACCAGTTTTGACGTTTCATGTAAAGAATGAGGACAGAAACCATATAAGACAATTGATAAATATGCACTGCCAGCTTAAAAAGTCAGATGTGAATTTAAGTAAATTCAGATTATCAATCCTGAGTTATTTATTAACCATGGTTTACAGGGCTCCAAATCTTTACAGAACAAATAATCATTAAACACCTACTATTTACTAGAGTTTCATAAGCATCCTACATAATAAAAGAGTAAATATGCAAATTAACCATCACTCTACTACACCGACAAGCCATGCCCACCAGCCAATCAGAGCGAGTATGCAAATAAACCAGTTAAGATGGCTACCAGGAAGGAGGCTTGGGTTTGCCTGGCAATGGAGGAAGCCAAGCTTTCCACACACCCTGGCGGGCCCAGGCCCCCACTCAAGACTACAAAGTTTCAATTATAGAAGGTAAACAAATCCAAACAGACATGGCAGCAGCCACGGATTGAGCAGAAGGCTTAGCTCCGCTCCAAAGTTTCAATTGTAAATAAATTCCAGATACCAGGGCCTCCATTTGGATCGCTGGGGGTGTGGCTGCCCTGCAAACCACCACAGGCCTCTCACCCAGGACACCTCATACCCCAAGGGAACCCCACCCTGATCTTGGACACCCGTCAGGGCAAACCAGCTGGCCCCACCCATGCACCAGGCCTCTATCCTATCTAATAAAAGAGTAATATGCAGATTGACCATCACTCCAACACACAAGATGGCTGCCCCCATGTGGTCAAAGATTCTGCCCCCATGTGGACACAAGATGGCCAGCAGGGGAGGGTAATTGGGAAGGACCAGGCCTGTAAGGGAGGGCAGTTATGGGTGATCCGGCAAGCAAGAGAGGGCAGTTGGGAGGCATCAGGCCTGCAAGGGAGAGCAGTTGGGGGCAATCAAGCCTGCAGGGGAGGGCAGTTAAGGGTGACCAGGCCAGCAGAGAAGGGAAGTTGGGGGCAAACAGGTTGGCAGGGGAGCAGTTAGACATCAATCAGGCTGGCATGGGAGTGGTTAGGGGGTGATCAGGCTGGGGGGAAAAGCAGTTAGGGGCAATCAGGAAGGCAGGCAGGTGAGCAGTTGGGAGCCAACTGAATTGTGAGTGGGATTGTCCTACTGCCCGTTTAGGCCCGATCCCACTGGTCAGTCGGACATCCCTCAAGGGATCCCAGATTGTAGAGGGTGCAGGCTGGGCGGAGGGACACCCCCACAAACTCCCCCCTGTGCACGAATTCCATAAACATTCTAATATATAAAAACTCTGGGTCTGTCATATCCATAATGACTGGAGGCTCAACCAACCAGAAGTCAGTCCTGTAGACATCGCTGGGTTGCTGTGGCAACCCTGCACTGATTACTGGGGCTGCAGTCTCATTGACCCAGCATTGACTACTGAGGGGGCTGTGAATTGACTACCCAGCATTGACTACTGAGGGGGCTGCGAATCAGGCCTAGAGAGAGGCCTGAAAAGAGAAGCAGGGTCTGATCTGTAGCCTGACAGATGTTGATCAGCACTTGTCTCTTTTTCTCTCTGGGTATGGCCAGCAGCTGTACCTCCATTTCTCTCCAGGCCTCCACCCAGGTTGCTGATCAGCCCCACCTTTCTGATCAGACCCGTTGATAGGCCCAGAGATGCTGACTGGCATAGAAAGAGACCAATCAGAACCAAATCCATGTGAACTGTAAGGATCCAATGACTATCTAGGAGTGCAGTTTTTCTTGCTGACTGGCATAGGAACCAACCTTCAGAATCAAATTGGCTGGCAGAAGAGGGCAGTTGGGAGTGATCAGGCCAGCAGGGGGGAGAGCAGTTAGGGATATTCAGTCTGGCAGGGAATGGCAGTTAGGGGAAGAGATCAGGCTGGCAGGGGAGGGCAGTTGGAGCCAACCAGGCCGGCAGAAGAGGGCAATTGGTCGGGGGGGGGGGGGGGGGGGAGGGGTGACCAGGCCAGCAGAGGAGGGCAGTTGGGGGTGATCAGACCAGCAGTTAGGTGTTCATCAGGCTGGCAGGGGAGCAGTTAGAAGCAAACAGGCAGGCAAGCAGGCAGGCAGTTGGGAGCCAGCAGTCCCAATTGTGAGAGGGATATCCCAGATTGAAGAGGGTGCAGGCTGGGCTGAGAGATATCCCCCATCAGTGCACAAATTTTGTGCACTGGGCCTCTAGTAATCCATGTTGCCCCTTCATTTGCTAATAACCTAGAGTGGCATGTTAAAGTTATACCTTCAATAGTACTGGGGCTTTTCAACCTTGGCTGAACAATTCTTTGTTGTAGGAAATTGGTGCCTCATAGAATTGTTGGCAGCATCTCTGGCCTCTACCTACCAGATGCCACTAGTGCAGCTCCATCCCCAGTTGTGACAAACAAAAATGTCCCTAGAAATTGCCAAAGTCACTGGGGTAGGAAAAGAGGAAGGTGGTGGACAGAATCCATTGGTTTACCTTTATAATATCTAGTGATAGATATTACCCCTTAACTTCTTCCTTGGACCTTTTGTATGCTTATGTGTAAACAAATATCTGCAATGTCTTTCTCAATTCTCTGGCTAAATCCTACTTACCCTTACAGCATTAGTTTACTATCACTTGCTCAGGAAAGTTTTCTGTATTATTAACCCATTTCTCCTTTGTACTACTTACTCAATTCTAATCTAAATCTTTTGTCTAATTTTTTAAAATATATTTTTATTTATTTCAGAGAGGAAGGGAGAGAGGTAGAAATATCAATGATGAGAATCACTGATCGGCAGCCTCGTATTGGGGATCAAGCCCATAACACAGGCATGTGCCCCGACCTGGAATCGAAACCGTGACTTCCTGGTTCATAGGTTGCTAATTAACCACTGAGCCAGGCCAGATCAGCCATTTGTCTAATTTTTTAATGTTTTCCCTGCTAGAATGCAATTTCATTGTCAGATTAGTTTACACCAATGTATCCCTACCAACTAACACTAGATTTGACACATAGAAAGTGATCAACATATATTTACTGAAAAAATCTACAATTAAGAAAACTTACATGCAATTTAAGTCATACTATAAACATAAACACCATTTTGTTGAAATTCTAAAATAGTTTCATTTTGCTATACCGTATGTGAAAGTTATCCTTAATAACTCTTGCTTCATATCCCACATCTAATCTATCACCAAATCATCACTTCCATCTGCAAAATATCTCTATGACCTTATCTCTAAATGTCCATCATCTCTGAACTGAATTATTTTTATTACTTTTGTACTGCTTCCACTCTGCATTTCAAAACCATCTTCTCCATATCAGAGTGATTCCTTGAAGTCATAAATCAGATTACACCATTCCCCTGCTAGCATCCCTGTATGACTTTCTAAGCCCTAGAATATCTCAATTCCTAACCATCACTTGTAAGGCTCTACATCAAGCATGTCAAACTTGTGGCAGCATGTGACCCACAACAAATATTTTTGCAGCCCAGCCAATATAACGGAAAGAAACGTTTTAATTAAAATTTCATAACTTACTTTTTACAACATCCAGATATACATAATTATTAATAATGAACTACAACGTTCACTAATAACTGATTACTATAATCGTGTTGCATTCATTTCCCTTACATGCCTTACGCGCAGGAGCACCATTTCTCTCCACTAATACTACCGGTAGCAGCAAATATTTTAGCAGCTGATTGCCACGTCATTAGTCTTGGACTGACTTATTTGGTATACGCAACAGGAAATATTTTGCTTTCGGAGAACAAGAAAAATAGGTTTATTTGTGTTATGCTTATTAATTCGTGCAGTTATTCAGTGTCTGGTAAGTTAATGTTCAAGGAAAGATTAATTTTTATTAAAATGTTCTATTAAATATAAGCTCAGTGCACAAAATTCCTACATTGGGGGAATCGGGAGGGGGGAGGGGCGCTCCTCAGCCTGGCCAGTTCAGGAGCCCTTAGGGGATGTCCAGCTCCTGCCACCGCCGCTGTGCTACACCTGGCTTCTGACTGCCCAGGCTTCCCCTGTGGGAGTGCACTGGCCACCAGGGGGCAGACACTTAACGCAGGAACTGGTGGTCAGTGCATCATAGTGAGTGGTTGAGCACCCTTAGCATATCATTAGCATATTTTGCTTTGATTGGATGGATGGACAACCAGACACTTAGCATATTAGGCCTTTATTAAATAAGATTACTCATTTATCTCAGCCCTCCTTTGTACTCAGCATCTCTATCGAAATAAACCTACATTTCTATGAAAATTTTTAAAGTTTTTGTTTTATTATGGCCATATAAACTTAAGCCTTTGAGTTTGACATGCTTGATCTACATGATCTGGCCCCTTTTCATTTCCATATCATTATCTACCAATCTTCTCAACTACCTCTTCTGGACTCTAAGCACAATGGCCTAGATAGATCTTCCTTTCTCAGCCTGGAGGGATCCCACCCTGGAGACTTAGCACTTGTTGTGCCCTCTTCCTGAATGGCTGTTCTCTCTCCTCCTCCTGAAATTAACTGATTCTTGTAGGTCAGATCTCTATCAACTGATTTAAATTATTTGCATAGTATATAGAATTATCTGGTTTTTAAAAAAATACCTCTTTATACTTAATTGTCTGCTCCCCTTCTCAAGTAGAAGTAAAATTCAATGACAGGGACTCAGTTTGTCTTGTTCATTGCTACCTCCAGAGCTGAGGACAGAACCTGGCACATATCCGGTGCCCGCCTTACTGTAAACATAAAGTAAAAACCATTTTTAAAGGCTGAATGAAGTTAAGGCGCAAAAACCTGTTTCCCAATCGCCATGCCCAACTTGGCCTCTCAGCAATGCTAACCAACCTGGGCACCCTGGAATCCACTGACAAGCAGCTTTCGTGAACTCTTGCCATAAACTGGGAGGAGAGTCAGGGCTGGGATGGAGAAGGACGCCCAAGGCTGGGAAGAGAGCCCCAGAGAGATGAACCACCAGTCTCCTTCTAAACCCGTGTTAATTCCCTCAAGGACCGGCGGCGGCAGAGAGCGCAAAATCCCAACAAAGTCGGAGTATTTAACCGCCTTCTACCTGTCGGAGGACTCCGCGTCGTCGAACTGCCCGGGAACTACCCGACTCATCAGCAGCTGCCGGTAGTCCATGACGGAGCGCGCGGAGCTTCAGCCACCCGAGGTCGCTCGCCCTGAGCTGGGCCAGGAGCCACACAAGCGGCCCAACTCTCGGCCTCTCCGAGGTCGCCCGCCTCGCAAACCGTTCTGTGATCCCTACGCCAGAAGCTCGCCACGTGTCTTGAGGAATTAGGATTTGCAGACTCGGCACCGCCGCCCCGGCTCGAACGGAAGCCCCGCCCCTACCGGAAATGTTCTACCGGAAGTCCCGCCCCGCGGCCCACTGAGAGCATGCGCAATAAGGACCCACGGAAGTATCATGGAAACTCGAGTCGCCTTCCTCTCTGGGCCCGCCATTCCACCTGGAGGCTTTCGTTTCTGCTCCCTGCTTTGTGTGTCTCCCTGTAGAAAGACGCTCCAGCCACGCCACTGGTTCGGCCTGGGAGTTTACATCCACGTTACTTCTCAACTCCAGTAACAGACTCCGGAGTTCCCCCAGGCCGGGCCCCCTGCGGGCGGAGCCGGCGGGCGCCATTCCCCGCCGGGATTGGCTGGCGCAGGCGGGTGGGCGAGCGGACGTCACACTGGAAAGGTTCGTCGCGCCGGCCTCCCGACGGGAGATAGCGTAGAAAAGGTTGATAAGTGTTCTTCCTCCCCCAAAACCAGTGCGGGGGACTGGAAGCACGAAATCCTTATTGTGAATATAAAAAACTGCACGGACCCTGGGAGTGAGCACGCTTTTGCGATTTGAAGAGTTTGGCGCATTGTTTTGAGGTGAAAATGAGAAGTGCTTGTAGAGAGCTGGTTTGTCATAACGGCTGAAAAGAACTTAAGGACGAAACCTTAGAATTTCGACTAGTAACTCTACTGACACCTTTTTTTCCCCTGCATAACTCATTTATTTGGGGCGAATCCCGCCGCCGCCTCTGTCTCCGCGGCGCTAGGAGGCGGGCGGGGCGGGGCGGGGCGGGGCGGGGCGCCGGAGAGGCGGGCGGGACGGAAAGCAGCCGCCCCTGCGGTTATTCCGCGAGATGCTGTGACACTTCTTTTAATTCAGGTCTTGAAACTGCTTTCGAGTATTTCTGGACACATTTGAATAAATATTTTAAAAGTTTAACACACATCTGGTAAGATCAGAATGCAAGATGGTAAAAGTAAGCCTAACAAAATAAATTGGCAGATTGTGCCATATGAACAAAGTTGTAAACGTATAATTGGAAGTTCTAGGTTCACAAATTTCTGCATTTGGAAAACTAAACAACGATTTTTTCAAACTCCCTTCACTACAACCTAGGCAATATTTGTGTGTTTGAAATTAGGGAAAAATTGAGCATAAAGTTGAACCATTCACTAATCCTGACTAGCCTGTGACGCTCAGTGACGTTTTATACTTAACCAAAGGATGACATAAGTTTGAAAAACAGTAAGTTATTTATTGGTAATTCAACAAAGTAATCCAAGCAAAATGGTAGAGACTGTAAATTGGGAAGGTTTATATAAATAAATGGAGTGCTGGGTTAAATTAGTATTTATTAGTATTTATCCTGGACAACACTGGCCCATTTGCTGTAGGAGTATTATAGAACCATAAATGGACTCTCATAGAAATATGTGTAATTTGTAAATATAAACACTAATATCCTTGAAACAATGGTTAAGACTAAAACTAAAACGAATAGGTATTATGAGACATTTAGACTAAAGGTTTTAGGAATTTAAAATATAGATGAATGGTTAGATAGGAAAGTTTAAAAGAGAGAAACACCTGCAAGGACAGACTACTGTAGTGATGAGGAGCATGACCTATTTGCAGGGAAGTGAACTTGATCTAATTAGAGTAGGAGAGTACTGGGTAGGCAAAGTGGGTTCCGGCTATGGAAGACCTAGAAAGTCAAGCAGAAGAATTTGAAGTCAGTGTGATTGGACATCTTTTCCAACCCCACCCCATAACAGACCTGAGGAATTATAGGAATATGGACCAGAGTAATGATCTAAGGCAGTGGTCAGCAAACCATGGCTCGCGAGCCACATGCAGCTCTTTGGCCCCTTGAGTGTGGCTCTTCCACAAAATACCACGTGTGGGCGGGCACATTCAGTGCGATTGAAACTTCGTGGCCCATGCGCAGACTTGGGTTTTCGGTCAGGGCGAGTCTATTTTGAAGTGGCAAAAGAGCAGCATATGGCTCGTGAGCCACGATTTGCCGACCACTGATCTAAGGGATGGAAAGAAAGCATGGGTTATGAAAATCATTTTTAAAGGATAAATGGACAGGACTTGGACAATGAGGTAGAAGATTGCCAAGTTTTCAAACCTCAAGTGCCTGAAGGAAAATTGATTTACAATGTTCGATTTCATTTGATACAGAAATATTCGTATAGCAGTTACTAAGTAAATAGAAATGCTGTCAGTGCAAAGTTACCATACTATACGCACACTAAATCTTTTTCAATAACTTGGCAAATGACATTTTAAAACTTAGGGCCATGAACTTGACTGCTTAATGTGCAAAAGAAATGGGGGAAGCTTTTTGTTTGCATATGTTAAAAGACCTTAAAATTATGTGTGTGTTTTTTTTAAGAAGCCTTTCATCATTCAACAGTTAGGAACAGGAAATATCAAAAAATTTGGTGATCACCTTCAGATCCTGTATATTTTAAAGTGGATGTTTCTCATGAAAAATTAGAAAGCATGTCAGAAGCGGATGCCATGAATTTCACCAGTCTTTCTCAAGATTTAACTCATTCAAATTCTCTCTTCTATATGGAAACCAGCAATACTACTTCAGACTTGCCTCAGGTGTGCATTGCTTATAAGATCTGCGAGATACAGCTGCATTTAGCATTCACATTGTATTCCATATGAACATTTTAAATAAATATATATATTTATGAGGGACAGCTCTAGCTGGTTTGGCTTAGTGGATAGAATGTCAGTCTGTGGACATAAGGGTCCTGGGTTCGTTTCCAGACATTTACCACCTTTGCAGGCTCGAAGGAGACAACCAATCAATGTGTCTCTCTCACATTGATGTGTTTGTTTTTTTCTCTGTCTACTCCATTCCCTTCCACTCTTTCTAAAAATCAATGGAAAAATAGCCTTAGGCGATGATTAACAACAACAAACAATATATGAAGAGCAATAAAGGAATCTCCAGTGGATGCATAGAAGAGAGGAATACTGGAACTGGTTTTCAAGAAAGGTAGAACTTTACAGAGTTAAAACAGATTCTTTCTATTCTCTCCCATGAGTATAGCCAGAGGACATAGCCACAACAACTCAGTAACAGAACAAGAACACAAGGAGCCTAACATCTGGTCTATTTTCGTTATGGAAAAAATTTGGTCATACTATTATGGTGTTAATTGGGATCAACTTACTACGCACTGAGTTGTAAAGAATGAATGACTTAAATTATTAAGGAAGTCCTCCCTCTTGTTTTTTTATAGAAAATTTATAGACAAAAGGCTTAGTTTAGCTAAAAACAGTAATATCACGAAAGACAAGAATTGGAAGTGATTTTTGAAATTCATTGAGTAATGAAGTTTGTATAAATATCATGTAAATACATGTGAATATTGCTATTTTATTTTTCAAGTATATTATTCCTGATATTTTAAAAATCTAATTAGGAATGATCTGAATTAGCAACAAGTAACAAAAAACAGATAGTTGTATAATTTAGTTTTTATTGTACTTCAGGTACATTAAGTAGAACAATACTATAAGAAGCATATTGAATAGAGATTTGTAACCAACTAACTTTAACAGAGAGAAAAACTTTTTAGAGCATCATTTAGATTGACATACATGATATACTAACAAAAATTACATAGCAATGTACATATACCTTTAGGAGAGGCCAATGGTATTTGAAGTATTTATAATGCCTTTTTAATTATTATTACAGACTGAAATAAAGAATGTAAAAAAGGAAAATGAGTCTAAAGTCACACATTCTGAAGAAATTTATAGCACACTAGATGATGTGTTAGGTGGTGAGTATCTGTTGGCAATACACAAACAGAAAATAAGATTTCTTTGTGTCATGTCATGATAATAATAAGAGCTAAGTACTATATGTACTACTATATGTAATACTTTAAACAATAAAAAAAGGAAAAAAAAAATAAGAGCTAAATACTGTGTTAAGCATTTTATATACATTGTCACATTTAATCTATAAACAAGCCCATGGAATAGGATTTTTACTTCTTTGTAAATAAGGGCTGTTTTTATCTTCATTTTATTTATTTTTTTTACGTTTTTTTTTTTAAATAAATCTTTATTGTTCAGATTATTACAGGTGTTCCTCCTTTTTTTCTCCCATAGCTCCCCTCCACCTGGTTCCCCACCCCACCCCATACTCTTTCCCCCGCCAATTTCTTCATCCATAGGTGTAAGACTTTTGTCCAATCTCTTCCCACACCCCTCAGACTCCCTTCCCCCTGAGAATTGTCAGTCCACTCCCTTTCTATGTCCCTGATTCCATTATATTCACCAGTCCATTTGTTCTTCAAACTTTTTATTCACTTGATTTTTAGATTCATTTGTTGGTAGGTATGTATTTGATGTCTTTTGGTTGTTCATAATTTTTATCTTTACCTTTTTCTTCTTCCTCTTCTTAAAGAATACCCTTCAGCATTTCATGTAATCCTGGTTTGGTTGTGATGAACTCCTTTAGCTTTTTCTTGTCTGTGAAGCTCTTTATCTGACCTATAATTCTGAATAATAGCTTTGCTGGGTAGAGTAATCTTGGTTGTAGGTTCTTGCTGTTCATCACTTTGAATATTTCTTGCCACTCCCTTCTGGCCTGCATAGTTTCTGTTGAGAAATCAGCTGACAGTCTTATGGGTACTCCCTTGTAGGTAACTGTTTTTCTCTTGCTGCTTTTAATATTCTCTTTCAGTCTTTTGCTCTTGGCATTTTATAATGTGTCCTGGTGTGGCCCTCTTTGGATTCCTCTTGTTTGGGATTCTGTGTGCTTCCTGAACTTGTAAGTCTATTTCTTTCACCAGGTGGGGAAAGTTTTCTG